CTGGATCAGGGAGAAACTTTGTCACCCCTACTTTGGACTATCTTTTATGATCCAATGGTGGCAGCAGCCTTCAGCCATCAGAACCAAGCACTAATTTCTCACAATATTCTCACATACATGGACAACGTACTTTTAATAGCTCAGTCAATAAGAGAACTACAAAAAACCATAGACATCTTCTGCTCCTTCCTCACTCTCAACAGTATTAAATGCAACATGGAAAAAACAATGTTAATTACAACACTAGACAACAACAATAGCAACAGAAATTCAAGCCTAAAGGTTTTCAATACCTTGGTTCAACCACTGCCACACAAAGTACCACTTCATTACCTAGGTAACTACTTCTCAGGTGACAGCTCTGGCAACATACACAAGCAACCTTTTATCAAGAACTTGAACCAAACAATTTCAGCACTTAGTAAGCAATCCTGAAATGGACCAATAGCAAAGCAAGTGATTGACTGGATAGTCCCAAGCAAAATCGACTACGCATTGCACTCTACAACACTGACAAAGACCCAACTACATGTAATCCAAACAAGAATTAATTGTCTAATCAAGCGAAAATTCAACATAGGAAGAACCATCTCTGACAGAATTGTATATTCACAAGCCGGCCTCAAATGCATTAATCTCATGGACAAACAAGACCTCATCCTGATCAAACTCCTCGTCATGAAAGCATGTAACTCAAAAATGACAGATGCCCTCAACATAGTAATAAAATCAATACAGGCTAGCAGTGTAATCTGGCTATGCCCAATATGCCATCCAGAAAAATTTCCTAGCAGCTAGATAACTCAAGCTGCCATGGTATGCAAAAAATACCAAATTAATGTGTGCCCCCCAAACTGCAAATTCAATAACCCTGCCGGTAACCTATCCCTAGGTCTCCTCTTCCCATTCAAAGACAAAGTACACAAGCGGCAAGCCTTAAGTCTATTCCATAAAGGAATTAAGACCCTCAAAGATCTGTGCGTCTACAAGAGCAACCGGAGACTCACCTGACATGAATTCAATGCACATATAGGCCCCACTCCGCCAGGTCCTGTGCCAACATGGTTCCTACAAATCAAAATCCCATCTGATATTCAAGGAACTTTCACTAGCATCTCCAATCTCAAAGCTAAATTCTGGGCCTTCATGGAAAACAACCAAGTATCATATATTAAGTTAAGAACCAATAGAGACCCAAGACGACTACTTAAGGAACCGCACTACATGACTGATCCAAGCAAAATGCTCACAAAATACCAATGCCATAATACAGGAACACATATTACCGTACCTACCGGTGAAGCCATGTCTCTTTGGACCTACTCAAAAAACAATCACACTATCTAGCCAACTCCTTTGAAGAAATAATAGAACAGCTGCAAGCACGCCCTGAAGCTAACACCACCCCCACCATCATGATCAACAATAACCTACCTGGCAAAGATACCATCCAATTAAATGTGAATATGGTAGAAGATATTAAGCAGTTGATAGTGAACATCCGTCCTTTTCCAATAATAGACCTAACAACAAAAGATGATTTAGTTCTCATAGAAAACAAAGAAATCAACTTAGTACTGCACTCAGTTCATAACCGACCTATCAACATACTGCTAACGATCATAGGATTTCTAGCAGCTATTAAAGAACAGACTTATATAACTATCAATATTCCACTTGTACTACGGCTAGACATCCCAAGCTACCTCAACCGAAGAATCAAAGTCTCATATAGTCACCTAACTAACTGTATCAATGAGCTCTACACTATGAAAGAGATCAGACTAACCCTACATAAGCAGACTAGCACCCCGGTATCTCAGGAAAGCGACAACATTATCTCAATTGACAATATCCTAGCAGTTGACAATTACATAACCAGCCCAAGAATTAAAAACACTTGGAGCATGGGTCCAACACACTGGATCAAAAGAGTCCAACAAATATATAGAATGGCAGACCTCATCAATAGCTCAACTCTCAAAGAAAGATGGAACCAAACACCTGATTTGAAATCCCTCCAAACACTCTATTTAGCTAACAAGTCTCTCATCAAAAAGGACAAGCTCAGTTGCTCATCTCTGCTAGCATTCAGATGCAAAATATTCAACAGCACTCTTCTCACAAGACAAGCTCTACACGAGATGTACCCAGACCTATACAAAAACAACCTCTGCCCCAGATGCCTAGTCATACCTGAGACACAAAGACATGTATTCGAGTGTCACAAAAACACAACGGCATTTGTTGAAATTGAAAACAAAATTATAAACAAAATTAAAAAACTCCTACCTAAAAGCAAGTCCAAAACAATAGCTGCAGAATCAATTCGTCAATTACAAATTATGACTATTAACAGAAAATCAAACCTTGAGGATCTAGCATGTGAAATGTCAACCCTTGGAGTCCAGCTCTCAAAAAAAGCACAGGCCAAGCTATCAAACTTTACTCTCAAACTCCTGTACATGGCAATATGGCTACCTAGATCTGCAACAGCAAATACCTCAATAGCATCCGGTATCAGATGGAAAAAATCTACCCTGAAACCCACAACTACTAAATCAAAAGAATCACCCATTGTACAACCAGACTTATTTGACAAAATTATTATACATTCCAATGCACAACAAGTAGATCAAATGAATGTACTAAAGTCTCAAGATCTTATCTTAATTCTGGAAGGGCATT